CTCCTGCGCTGGGAGGTGCAGGGGCCCCCACCCCCGGGGAGAGCCTCCCCCGGGAAGCAGCGCTCCTCTCTCCGCCTGACTTCGCACCTCTGCCGCCACGTGGTTGGGCAGGTAGTTTCTGTCCCGCACACTTACATAAGTTTCTGCACTAGTTCTCGCTGTTTCCCAAGGCTGCCCCCCCCAAGGGGAATATCCAGCTCCTCTTGAGATGCTGTCAGAATTGCAGGCTGCACTTTCCCTCTGTGGATGCTTCAGCCACCTTCCTCTGGACTAGTAGATAAGTGAGCCTTTCAGAGAGGGGACAAGGTCATTTTCTTTTCATGGTCTTGTCTTGTCCAGTAATATGTTTACAGATTTTACTGTACATATGCACATTTGTATATGTGTAAATGGTACATGTATATCATATACTAGGTGTATGCATGTTTGTACTTCTAGAAATAAAATTGACATGTACACGCACACCTCCCTAGATGTACCTGTGAAAGTCAGGGTCTAAGATCCTGTGTCTTACATACATTGACTGCCTCACAGCATACCTGTAGGGCATACCAAGGGTGTTGAACTGTTTGTGAAATTGAGCTTTTGCAGATCCCTGCTATTTACAGTCATGAGGGAAGCTTTTTTCCTGTAGATTTATTTATTACAGACTTGTATGTTATATAGAACAGCCCTTATGATCTTTATAGTTATGAATAAGCTGTATTTGATAACAGCCTATCTGGTTTTGCTTGATATAACTAACTGCATGTGTGGAAAAAATGCAAGCCTACTGAACATTAGTGTTGGTCTCTAGGTAGTCCATGATGAGTCAGAATATATCTGTATCAGACTGGCTGCACCATTTTCTTTTCCAGCCTCTCTCTGTCTTCGCACTGTGGGTTTTGTCTTGAGCTGTTGTATGCAGGATGTGTTGGGAGGGAGGGCTGTTTGGAGATGTGCCAGTCGGGAAGATCACTGCAAACCACACAGACTTTCAGATTTCATCTCCTAGCTCTTCAGGTTACAGTATAAATATAAAAAGTCATCATGGAAATATTGGAGGCATATACCATGTTATTTGCCTGCTTAAATATCCTTTAGCTTCCTCTCCTTTGTCTGCTTTTCTTTTTCTGTTCAGTTTAGATTACATGCGCATGGTAGCGGAATCTTACGTTGTTTGTGCAGCACCAAGTACAAAACCAGTACTAAGTTCTAGGGAATAGATTTGTTTTGGTTCAAGACCTTATTTTTATGTGGGCATACAAATTCTATGTTTAAAAACGAAACACTAGTATCCTAACTTTGCCAAAGCACAATTTGTCTAGTCTTAGCTCTACTGTTTAATGTGTTTTGTTACAGACTTTTCCTTTACTCAAGGAATTTACATTGGACCGCTGTTGTGGTTTAAACCCAGTGGGCAGCTCAGTCCCATGCAGCCACTTACTTCACCCCAGTAGGATGGGGTAGAGAATTGGAGGGATAAAAGTATTAAAACTCATAGGTTGAGATAAAACCAGTTCAATAAGTAAAGCAAAAGCCGCACATGCAAGCAAAGCAAGACAAGGAATTCATTCACCAGTTCCTATGGCCAGGCACGTGTTCAGCCATCTCCAGGAGAGCAGGGCTCCATCATGCGTAACAGTTACTTGGGAAGACAAACGCCATCACTCCAAATGTTCCCTTTTCCTCCTTCTTCCCCCAGTTTTTATTGCTGAGCATGATGTCATATGGTATGGGATGTCCCTTTGGTGAATTTGGGTCAGCTGTCCTGGCTGTGTCCTCTCCCAACCTCTTGCTCACTTCCAGCCTACTTGCTGGTGGGGTAGCAGGACAAGCAGAGAAGGCCTTGACGCAATGTAAGCACTGCTCAGCCGCACATGACACATCCCTGTGATATCAACACTGGTTTGGTCACAGGTCTAAGACACAGCACCATATGAGCTGCTACAAAGAAAATTAACTCTATCCCAGCCAAACCTAGTACAATCACATGTTAGCAGGTAGAATCTGGTTCTCTTTAACAACAGTCCCCAAACAGTTACTGGGTGCTCAAACTTTGACAGTGTTTAGCCTTTATCAAATCAACAGGGTAGACGGGGCCTGTGTTTTTGAGGTGGGATTTGAGGTGAGTATTCCCAAAGAAAAGGACTACCAATTTGTCACAGTGAGTTTGCACGTGTACCTCCCCAGGGGGTTTGGCAATTGGAAGAATCTCAGCTGTACAAGGTTGGGCACATAAAAGCAAATCCTGTCTGCAGTTCTCTGTTTCTGATATATTGGAAAGTGTTTGAAAAGCTAATGTACACATCCTGCTTCTA